CGATTCCAGGCCGAGGAACTGATTACCTCAAACTCCTCCTCTCCTAATCCATTTCTACTTTGTATTGGACTGATGAAACCACTGTGTGGCGAAACGTTTCCTTAATAAAGATTCCCACATGTTGCATAAGTGTTTCAGTTATTTGTAGGTTTTCTGTAAATTTTAAATTTGAAGTCATTATTACCTTTAATAATTAAAACATCTAGAAAAGGCAATGAGCTATTTTCCTCAAACTCAACAGTGAAGTTTATAGAATGGGCTAAGCTATTTAATTTAACAAGGAAATGGTTTATATTTACATTCTTAGGCATAAGACACAAAATATCAACATATCTGAACCATTTAGCTCTATTAGGGAGGATTGTGTTAAGCAGTCTTCTTTCAAAAAATTCCATGTATAGGTTACTAAGAACAGGTGAAAGAGGATTTCCCATTGCCATACCAAACTTCTGAGTATAAAACTTATCATTAAATACAAATTTTGCATCAAAAATAGAAGTAGCACATTTTTAAAAAATAAGTGTAAAATATGATGGCAGTTTTAAGGAAAATTGTGAAACATGTTAAAAAAATACTGAGGGGAAGAGAGAGGACTAAACTGATAGGCGGACGAACGAGGTGAACAATGAATTAGTAAAGATGTAGCCATCATCAATTAACACCTAAGTATTATTTGTTTGCTTGATCCTGGTAATTTGGCCTGGGACAAATTACTCTTATATGAGCATACAACTGCTCTTACATTCCGTATAGTGCCTAGTGTGTTCTAAAAGACATTTAAAAAAATTAAAGTATTTAACAAAACTGCCTTACGTCGGCATTTCACGAAATCGTAATGACACGATTGCAAACAAACCATACCACGGGTGGGATTTGAACCCTTGGTCAGAGTCTCAAAACTCCAGACCGCCATTTTAGCCACTGGGCCAGCTTGTTGGCCCAGTGGCTAAAACGACGGTCTGGAGTTTTGAGACTCTCTGACCGCGGATTCAAACTCCACCCGTAGTATGTTTTTTTTTTTCTTTTACGTCGGTGTGCCAACAACATAAATTTTCTCGTAAATCCCCATCACAAAAAGTTACATCAATAATACATTTCAAACTATTACTTATTTTATATTAAAAATGCATTTATATTTACGAGTAAAATTGTAAAAAAAAAAAAAAAATAAAAGAGTTAACTAGGCAACGTAGTGTCAAGTGAAGAGCATTACAAACAAAACAAGGGATCACACGATGATCTGCCTCCAGCGACCTCGCATTTCTCTACACTTGATCACACCCAGCAAACATGGAGAGGAAACCAGCGTTCCCATCTCCATTTGGAATACTGACTGCTCCACTCTTTAGAGAGAGGGAAAGAGAAGAATGAGAGCGGAAGAGGAAGGTAAAAGAGGGAAGAGGAGGGTAAAAGAGGGAAGAGGGGGGTAAGAGAGGGAAGAGGAGGATAAGAGAGGGAAGAGGAGGGTAAGAGAGGGAAGAGGAGGGTAAGAGAGGGAAGAGGAGGGTAAGAGAGTGAAGGGGAAGGTAAGAGAGGGAAGAGCAGGGTAAGAGAGGGAAGAGGAGGGTAAGAGAGGGAAGAGGAGGGTAAGAGAGGGAAGAGGAGGGTAAGAGAGGGAAGAGGAGGGTAAGAGAGGGAAGAGGAGGGTAGAGAGGAAAGGGGGAGAAGGAAGGAGGGTAAGAGAGGGAAGAGAATGGTAAGAGAGGGAAGGGAATGGTAAGAGAGGAAAGAGAAGGGTAAGAGAGGGAAGAGAAGGGTAAGAGAGGGAAGAGAAGAGTAAGAGAGGGAAGAGAAGGGTAAGAGAGGGAAGAGAAGGGTAAGAGAGGGAAGAGAAGGGTAAGAGAGGGAAGAGAAGGGAAAGAGACGAAAGATAAAAGACGAGGAGAATGAAGAAATGTTGAGGAGAGAGAGAGAGAGGGGAGGAGAGGAGACAATTAGAGAAAGAGGACAGGGGAGAGAGAAGGGCAAGAGGAAAATAGGCTGGGGTCTCACAAAAAGTCGTATATCACTATTTTTAAGGGAGCCAATTTGTGAGGCTCCCCTTGTCAAGCTGTTTGTGAATATGAAAGAGCATTGGGTCATGACGGTTAAACGAGTGAGTGACCTGTGAGCAGTTCTGAATGTAGTTGTATTCTCACTTTAACTGTGAAATAAACTGTATGTTCCCCGTGCACGCAATTGTCTGTTTCCCCCACCCAGTGTATACTAAGCCATAATCCCTCAGTTGTAACGCTGTTGCCATAAGCACTTAACACTCCCCCTCTCTTTTTTTTTATCCTATCCTATGAAACACTGCTGCACGATCCTCCTGGTATTATTTTGAAAATCTGCTTAGCGAGGAATATGTCACAGGTGATAGTATGTGTTTCAGTTGGGATAATTACTCGTGAAATCGCGCATGCATGTGTGTAACAATGCATGTGCTTTTTCTTTTGCATTTAACAAAACTGGATACATAAGCGTTATGCTGTTACCCTGCTCTATATGATACAGTAGTTATTTTGTACGAACACTTGTTAGCTATGTTTACCTTGTCATATTCCTTCACACAGGCTGGGTTTCTCATATCAAGTATAACATATATCAGGCTGAACTGCGAGACTCTGTAGAACAATAAGGATATCAACAAGCATTCTATTATAGAATTCATCCAACTAGGTATATTTATACACCACAGGAGGTAGCACGAGCCCCACTGTGACCATAAATTCAAGTTTTTATAGATGAATCTATTATGGATTCTTTAGCTAGAAAAGCTTTCATTCCAGCAACAATACACATACAAATACACATACAAACAAACACACACACACACGCACGCACACACACCTACACCTAGAGACGGAACTGAAGCGCGGGTCACATCAGCCACGCCCTCTGCTACCATCTGTTATTATGCAGGTGAGGTGGCTGCACGACAAGGGTGATGATATTTTTGTGACGTTGGAGCTGTGCTGTCTCACATGTCTTTTGTAGAGTATATTCTGATGATGTTATACAGAATTATGTAATATATATTTTAAAACATTACTGCACTGAGGCAAGAATATAGAGCAGTAGGTAAATAATCAAATAAACTTGCGTTCGATTCCCGGGTAAGTCTCTACAACTGCTTCTCCTTCTCACCTAACAGTAAATAAAAAACTGGGTGTAGCTTGTGTAGTGTGGGTTGCATCCTTAGGGAAGGTCATATGCTAATGCTGAAGATGGGACACGACAAGAATAACTACTCCAGTAACTACTAATAAGTACACAAATATATGAAGTTTAATATAAGTTGACGCGCCCAGACACACACAAACGCAAACACACATACGTACAAACACTAAACGCAAGCACGCACGAGCACACACACACACACACACACACACACACACACACACACACACACACACACACACACACACACACACACGCAATTTGTATACAGATGTAACTGGGTCCTGAAGGCCATGAATCAGTAAAGCCAGTCGACAAGAGTGGAGATGTGGAGCCAGGAGATGTAATCGCCTGGTTGCAAAGTACAACAAGGAGAGCACAAAGAGACGTGCATACACACGAACACAGGTATTCACTAGGATTAATTGGTGAGCCGAGCCGCCACATCCCTGAGCTCAGGTGGCTTGATCAAAGAGTTAATGAGTGATGACACACAGGTGTGTAACTGTTGTTTGCCAGGTATAAGTAGCCTCCACGCCCCGTTCAAAGTGATGTGTTATAACGTACCATATCTGTGGCTAATTTGTTGAAGTCAGCTGACAAAAGTCTTGGCTCCAAACGATGTACTGTCAACAATAGTGAAGAAAAAGTTCAGGATGCAAAACAAGCTTTCATTTGTACAACGTTTCAGTCTGTATAGAGCTTTATCAAGCTTGATAAACCTCTACAATAAAATTTTCTGCAATGCTTGTCTTCATGACACGAGTCTTAATAATATGATAACTAAGTTAATTATTCTTAATTCACAGACTATCTGTTTCTCTTACTGCTCTTAATATATAACTGCTCAATATTAGATGTTCATTATTATTATTATTATGAAAATTATTACTAATATTAAAATAATTATTGTTTTTATCTTAAGCTACGACTTGATCCAATGTCTCCTAAATAACGTCTAAGTATATTACAAAATCATAAAACAAATGCAGAGTTATGTGTAAATCGCAAAATCTAATCAATTACTATTATTATCAACATAATTATAATTATTACAGTCAAATACATTAGCGACATCCTACCATCTCCCACTGCGCTCCAGATTCTCCACATAATTGTAATAATCCAGGTCTGCGGTTTCACCTGCCTTAAATGAGGCTGTTAGTGCACACAATACTCCGGTCTCCTCAATACTAAACTCACGCTCACAATGTGAAGCTTCACCCTTTAACTGCCTGTATAATGAAGATGTATTTCGTAGATTAAGCTGATGTCTAATGTCAAAAATATTTCAAGTTGTATTACCACTTTTGGATAAAAGTAATTACCTTATCCTGCGCCCTTGTCGAGTGTTTTTATCTTGGCTCATCATCCTATGCTCTTATTCCTATTTTTTTATCTTGACACCTGATTCCTCCTAAGTTTAATAGAAATAATTTAATCGGACCTTTTTTTATGTTCAGTTTAAACAGGCAAATTCAAAGCTGTATTTGTCTGCTTTATTCCATAAGAGAAATTCCCGTGAGAAGAGTTGGAGAAGAGGCAGATAGAGTGCGAAGATGAATATGTAAGGAGAACGGGAAAGAGACAAAGAAGAGGAGCCAAAGGAGGATACGTACAGGTGACAGAAGAGATAGGACACACAATGAGGGATAACAAAGAGTCAACAAAGAGAGATTTGGGCGTGGCAGACGTGGGAAGGGATGCTCAGTGGCAGGATTCTGGGGAAGTGGTGACAGGGGGTGGGCATGGCTGCCCTGGGGCAGGGATCTGGGCGTGGTTAGGACCTCCACACAAGGACGAGGCAACAATCTTTGTATATAAGTCGTGGTCTGGATTTGTCTAACAGGCCAGAACTACCCTACGTTCCTGACGACATGACTCCTGTGGTGAGTCCTAGCTCTCCTAACTGTCTAACTACTTTCTACATTAGTTCTTTAGAACCAGCATGTTATTTCTCAAAGGATCACCACCTACCTGCCTTTCCATCACTTTGGCTTTTAATGTAAAAATACTGGCGCAATCGAATTAATTGGATCGTTTGACTATGTACTTGCACTTTGAAATAGACTTTTAACGTATATAATAATTTTATAACATTTACTGGCTAGTGTTAGGACTAATCAACAATGTATGTTATATACATCCTTTTCATTAAAAATATAAGCTCATTACTGGCGATGTAAAAACTCATCCTATCTCCATGTGCCTCGTTGCTGTCAAGCCGATTCTTTTTTTTCGTAAATTCTGAACATTTGTGTAGCACTTGTGTAATATCTGCAAAGCATTTATGCAAGATTTGTGAACGTGTGTAACTTTTTTTCCATAGCTGTTGCTGTCATTGTTGGTTGCTGGGTGTTTGGGGGCTCCCACTGGCGACACTGTGGCCATTCAGGCATTACCTTGGCCTAGCATCTATGGTGCCCCCGTCGCCGTACCGCAGTTGACAGCGCAGGTACCTGCCGGGGTGACACTGAAGAACTTGGGCGAGGCAGTAGCAGTCGCTCCTGCTGTGGCTGCCGCCGTGCCAGGATACGCTGTACAGGGCTCGGTTCATCAACTGACACAAACCTTCGAGGAACCTAAAGTTACTCTCAACACCCTTGCTGCACCTCTGCCTGTGAGCGCACCTGTGGCGGTTGCACCAGCACCTTTAGTCTACAACGCAGATCTCAAAGTCCCAGCACCTGTGGCTGTCGCACCAACACCTTTGGTCTACTCCAACGCAAACCTCAACATTCCAGCACCTACGCCAACTGGTGATGCCCCTCCCCCTGAACAAGTGGTCCAAAACATACCTGTTCAGGCATACAGCCGCCCAGTTGTCTCCTACACTCCCCAGATCACCGAGTTCCGTCCAGAACTAAAGATCACTGAGACGAATTTCGACGTTCCAGTATTCAAACCTGTCTACGAAACTAAAGAAGTCACTCCACTACAATACAAGTACGTAGCTGAGCCCTATGCTGTGCCCCAGCCCTATGCTGTGCCGCAACCGTATGCCGTGCCCCAACCCTATGCCGTGCCTCAACCATACGCAGTGCCATTCGCTGCTGGTGTACCAAGCCTCGCCTACAATGCTGCTGCCCCTGTAGTGGCCTATGGTACTGTCACAGCAGCTGAAACAGGTGACGTTGCCGCTAAGCCCTGAGTCTCCTTCGGGAGGCGGCGTTAGCTGCCACGAACCAGTTTTACTGGAAGATTGACGCCGCAGTCCCGATGTAAATATACACATCAATACAATATTCTCGTGCTATATCTCTTTAGGAATAAATCTAAATTTCTTCCTGCTAATTTCTTTTATTACTAGCAAACTCTGAGGAAAATCGCTTAATTAAACTTTCGCCTTAGCGACTCGTTTATTATGTACCCGCAGCTTAACCTGTAAACAGAAGCACAAAAATGAGGATTGCAGGGGTCACAATGATCTTCATCACACCCTTCAAAGGAATATTTTTATCTTCGTACATTACAACTATCCGTTTATTGCTTCACATCTCATCATACTGTTGCTATCAGATTAAGCAGGATATGGATAAAATCTCAAAATTCCAAATACTTTATCATTAACGATTCTTTTTACAGATTAAAATATCTTCATACAGTGATTATTTTTTAAATTAATATAAAGTGTGAAAACAATCCCAGGTTATCAGATTCCTTGTCATTAACAATGTGGTTCACCATTTTCTGGATAATCTAAAATGGTATTCTAGTATGCAGCATTACCTCTGCCCCCTCATTTTACATTTCATATGAGTGAGATCTCTATACAAACTGAATTGTCAATGACTCTTATAACCTGATCTTCGTCTTGCAGTGACAGCAGTTTGTACTCTACAAGTTTATCTAAAAAATTATTTGGGTTTGGCAGCTCCCCAAAAATATTCAACACTTTTTATTTTATGTTAGTTTAGCCAAGACATAAACTTCAAATAGACAAAGAGAGAGCGCGTCTGTCTTGCGCTCGGTAGACGGAATATCAAGCCTCCACTACGTCTTGCGCTGAATGACCCACATGGGTTTAGCGTTTAACGTGAATAATACTAATAATAATAATAATAATAATAATAATAATAATATTCATAAATAATAATAATAATAATAAACAATTGGTGCATGTCTGACTTCAGAATCTAGGTTCTTACAGTCACATCTTAGGCTATTTAGATCAAGTCATGAGGTCAGGGAGTCACAGATAATGAAACTACAGTTTTACCTTGAACAAGCTTGAGGTTAATGAGTATGGAAAACAGTCCAGTTTGTTACGTAAATATCCAGTAATTAATTCTAATATTTCTGTGTTTTGAAGTGCCATGGAGCAATGACAGCACTTACCACCCTCCTACTCCTGGAGTTGAGATAGATATCAGTATTGTGTGCGATGTTTTCAACCCTGTGTATGTTTTCAACAACATTAAATTTAGGAACTTTTGAAGATGAGGGAGGGGAAGGGGAAGTTAGGAAGGGAAGGGGGGAAAATGGTGCTGTGTGTGCCTGTTATCTGATTCCATTCATCATCACTCATGTTATAACATATTTACCTTCACTCGTGCCATGATATGTTATCCTTTACTCGTGTCATGACATGTTATCCTTCACTCGTGTCATGATATGTTTTCCAACAGTTCTTTAGACTAAACCTTTATCTCGATCATCACGTATAAGCGCCATTCCTATTATGAAAATAATTTCGAGTATTCTGTTATTCAGGCTGGGTAAACCTTTTTAAATCATCAGGTAATACAACCACTGTGCAATTTATTACTCTGAACAGCACCACAAATGATAATGCATTTCATGAATGTGTGGGCACTGATACGTATCTCCAATGACGAGTTTCCTGGCACAAAAGATATTTGCTTGAGATATTCTTACAATACTAACCAGAAATACTGACCTGGAAATAAAAGAAAACAACGGGAAAACAAGGCCAAACACCAACAAATTATACTTTTGGTTACACACACGCATTATTTTTCACTTAAGATTTCCTCAAGTAAAAATAAACAAGATATATGAAAGCAGTAGGTAGCGTGGGGAAGGTGGGGCATCATGGTCAATGTGGACCACTTCTTGTACACCTCACTCTCATGTTCTTGCATGCCTCGTCACTCTTACCACACCCATAGACGTCTTCATGCTCATCTTAAACCTGTAGACGTCTTCGCGTTAATCTCATGTAGACGTATTTTCTCTCATTCTTCCACACCTAAAAAAGATATTCATGTTCATTCTACACCTACTGACTTCTTCACATCTGTCTTACCACACCTGAAAACATCTTAACATCCATTTTACCACACCTACAGATATCTTAACATCCACCTTACCACATCTATAGACATCTTAACATCCATCTTACCACACCTATAGATATCTTCATGTGCATAACCATCACATGGGTATTTTTCATCCTGGTATAATTTACACACATAAATAATGCAAAAACAAATACTCTGGTGAGTGTGATAACCCTGCCTTGAGCCAGGTGGCAGCCATGATACGTGTCAAGAGAGTACATCAACCTGCCTGGGGAAGGAAGGATACCCTCCCAACCTTCCCCTTCCAGGCGTGGGGATCCTACGAGTGTAAAGAAGGATCTTCAGGGCCGCTAAGATCCGGGTGTCCTCGGACCACACCTTTACCTTGCCTCCACTACCTCCATATCCTTCCTTTCCTCCCTCCTCCTCCTCCCTTCCAAACCCAATCTCTCTTCGTGTCTTCTGCCTTCGCAGGCAGGTATGAAATTAAGCTTCTTTACTGATTACCTGTTCAACCAGACTGTTGCTGTTAACGCGCGTGCTGGACCACATAGCCACGTTGATCTGGCACCTTGCAGAAGTAGTGGTTCGGGTTCCTCTTAAAAGTTTTTACATGTGTTCTGGTAATATTTTTATTGGCAATTTAAGCACTCTTATATTGACAGAGTGCTTATATAATGTGCCTAAGGTGCCCCGCTTCTCACTGCGTTTATTTACATCTCCTTTCGTATCTCTTACTCCAGGAAGCTGTTATGGTAGTATGTAGGTTAGGGAACGGCCTTCTATTATCTTTCATACGTATATCAAGTATCTCTTATCCACTCTAGAGAGCATATTCCAAGTACTCTAAGGTGTTCCCAGTAGTTTAAGCATTACTGACTTCACGTGGGCAATAAACGAATACTCTACATTTTCTAACTCTGATATCTTTCTTGTCTTGATCGGAGCTGTGAGCAAAGAACATCAATCTCAACATTATTTTTTTAAATCTTATACTTGTTCCTTTCGTTCTATAAAACGTTTCTCCTGTGTTTTGTATCCTATGCTTGCTTTGATTTCTTCATTATTTCCATATCTAAACAGCTGCAGTTCATCACCATTTCCATTGCTCACTAGAAGATTTTGTTAATATCGGCTTTTAGTTTTCCATTTCTTCTACCGAGGCGACTTTCAGAACTATTTTGGTATGTGTGATTGTAAACAGTATGATACTGACAAACGGTGGAAAAGGACACTTGTGTACAGTTCAGGACATTTATTAAAGGAAACGTTTCGCCGCTAGTGGCGAAACGTTTCCTTTAAGGAAGACAGGAAGCTGTGGCTAGTGTTTATAACTATGTCTGTTATGAGGATGAGAAACGAACGAGGTGTCGGGACCGTGTCTCTACATTTTGCTAAACCGACATTTTTTGTTTTATTTACTACTATTATTGCTGTGATCACCCCCACCCACCCTTTTTCCACATTACATCCTTACCTATCCTTCTTCCTCCCTTAACTTACCAAACCTCTGGTTAATGAACCTTGAACTACTGCTATTAGAAAAGTGAATATCCGTTTTCCTAATTTTCCTGTATTAATTCTTGACTTCATTTTATGGACACTCACGCCATGGTCGGATCTGTCAAAATACCTATATGAAATTGGTGTAGACCACTTATGTTTGTGATCTTCCAAAATCTCAGTGGTTTTGTCATGATAATCTAGCAAGTGCGAGAGGTATGATCTTCCCGCTCCTAAATCCATCTTGACCTGAGTTGTGTAGCTCATTCTTTTCCATAAAATCAGTAATTTGGGATCTTTTACCTCTTTATAATGCACCCCATACCCATCCCGTGGACGGTACATGTACAGAGGTACATCTGGGATCTCACTACTTTCTCAAAGACTTATTACATTTGAGGTTAGTGTTATTGCTCTAATTTTTTGGCACTGCTGCCTCCTTTGTGACGAAAAGATATATAAACACTTTTTTAAGGTCCATGGAATTTCACCTAGATCTAAGTTTTCCCTCTTGCATTTTTTCACTTTCCTCTTTTCCCATTTTCTCTCCCTCTCTCTAACCTGACGTCAGAGAACCTCCCCATAAAGGATAAAGAAAATGCAGAAAAATTCCATTGATAATGAAACAGTTAAAGAGGTAATAAGACATAAACGAGTTAGTACATAAAAATAAAGCAGAGGAAAAAATGTAAAATTAGTAAAATACCAAGATATCAAAATAACAATTACCAGTGTTAACTCATCAATGTGCATGTTAGCAGCTTTTCTTAGCAATTTTTCTAACAAAGTTAACAAACAACTGGGGATGTACATGTCACCCAGTACACTACTTCACTGAGATAATCTTTAATTCAAGTGGTGAATACCTGTCAAGGCCTCGCATACCTTCGTTATGCACGACAGTAATGTGTTTCTCCCCATCCTCCCTCCTCCTCCATCTAACTGCCTCCACCCTCCCACCACCTCCTCCATCTAACTGCCTCCACCCTCCCACCACCTCCTCCATCTACCTGCCTCCACCCTCCCACCACCTCCTCCATCTACTGCCTCCACCCTCCCACCACCTCCTCCATCTACCTGCCTCCACCCTCCCACCACCTGCTCCATCTACCTGCCTCCACCCTCCCACCACCTCCTCCATCTACCTGCCTCCACCCTCCCACCACCTCCTCCATCTACTGCCTCCACCCTCCCACCACCTGCTCCATCTACCTGCCTCCACCCTCCACCACCTGCTCCATCTACCTGCCTCCACCCTCCACCACCTCCTCCATCTACCTGCCTCACCCTCCACCACCTCCTCCATCTACCTGCCTCCACCCTTCCACCACCTCCTCCATCTACCTGCCTCCACCCTTCCACCACCTCCTCCATCTACCTGCCTCCACCCTTCCACACCTCCTCCATCTACCTGCCTCCCCTTCCACCACCTCCTCCATTACCTGCTCACCTCCCACCCACCTCCTCATCTACCTGCCTCCACCCTCCACACCTCCTCATCTACCTGCCTCCACCCTCCCACAACCTCCTCCATCTAACTGCCTCCACCCTCCCACCACCTCCTCCATCTACCTGCCTCCACCCT